ATAATTGATAGCAGGCCAAAAAGACTGGAAAACTTCAAATACAGGGTACATGGCTTTCCACTGACTACTGGCAGATCACCGGGGGAAGCATGTTCCAAGCTCAAAAGCCAAGAATATGCCTATGCCTGATTTCTTCCCAGGGCCAAGGATATAGTAGGTTCTAGCAAGTTTATAATTTTATAATAAAACTTATGCTAATTTTTTATAATTATAATTTTTTTCTGACTTAGTGGAAGGAGGTGGTACTTTCTATAAAAGGGTGTGTGGAGTTTCAGATATGCAAAATTAAATATACTTAGTGTTGATTAACAGTCGCCATGATCTCTTCCCTCTTCCTTGACAATGCATTTTAGCAATGCTTATGTACATCTGTACTGTTTTAATGGATTTATACATAATAGTTTTTCCATGTAAATGCATCTAAGTCTTATCAGCACTATTGTGGCAGTCTGCTTTTCTACTTTAGAGTAATAATGTCAAATAAAAACAAATCTGGACTTATAAGGAGAGACTTTTATCAAAAAGGATTATTGCAAAGTCAGGAGAGAGATTATTGTAATAGGGAGAACACTTTGACCATAAGATCTGTGAATGTCTCAAGAATGAAGCAAAGAGAATTTTTCTTTTATAGAGATGAGTAAACAAGGTGAGAAACCAGTGTGAGGAAGTGAGATGAAAGGTGGCATGCCTGAATAGTAGATCAGAGAATATTTTACCTCAAGGCCAATCTGTTCACACGAGGGGCTGTATACTGGCTCAGCCTGAGGGTGGGCCAACATTTAGGGGTCTGGAAGAATGAGAGAAACTTAACCAGTCTGGTTCACAAGCATTTTGTTCTGATTGATCAGTGGGGACAAGCAGTTCAGCTAATCATTTATGAGGCAACACAAGGGAATTCTGAGGGTTTGTGTGTGGCCTTGTCACAGGTAAAGACAGGCAGCATCTGGGAGTCTTATCTAAGTCATATGGGGAATAGTGGTTCTTTGCAACAGGCTTTTTTCTGGAACACAAAGAAGAGGGGAGTTTCTTAACCTTCACTGTTTTTCCAAATCACAGGATTCCTGTAAAATTCATTGTTGGAAGGATCGTTTTTTTTTTAATTAAGATTGCTTTCAGTTGCAAGTAACAGGAAACTGTACAAACAGTGACTCTACAAACAGGAAACTGACAAACACAAAAGTGACTCACAGAGGGGTTTATTTTTCTCAACAAGTAGAACAGAAGTCAGTAGTTGATGGCACTGGTTTAGCTGATCAATGATACCAGTAAAACACTGAGTCTTTCTAGTCTTCCTCCTCCTGTTTGGTACCTCTTCATTACAAAATAGCTGCTGCAGCTCCGAACATCCATATTTGAACAAGTGTAGGAGACCAGCAAAGTTATCAGTTGTGTATGTTGCCACAGAGGTCCTCTTAGCAAGAAAGAAGGCACTATAAGCTATGGCAGATCTTCTGTTTCTTCTGGTCATTGTATTCTACACAAGAATTTACTGATTCTCTACCACTGAATAATTTTTTATTTTATTTATAAATGGACAATTAGAAAAATATACACCAAGTTTTATAGCATGATACATAAATGGAGACATTCTTACAAATGGCTTTCTGGAGTTGCTTCAGGAAAGCCAAGAACTTTTTTTTTTTTTCTTTTTTTTTTAATTTTTTTTTTTTTATTTATTTCTAGAGAGAGAGAGTGAGCAGGGGAGGGTCAGAGAGAGAGGGAGTCACAGACTGAAACAGGCTCCAGGCTCTGAGCTGGCAGTCAGCACAGAGCCCGACGCGGGGCTCGAACCCACGAACCGTGAGATCATGACCTAAGCGAAAGTCGGACGCTTAACCGACTAAGCCACCCAGGCGCCCCGGAAAGCCAAGAACTTCTTGAGGATACTTATTTGGAACCATTTATTGAATCATCCATTGAATCTTAGATGTATATGCAAAGAGTTTATATTTCTAATTTTAAGGAGATCTTACATGTCAGTATAAAAACATTGCCCAATCAAGGTAAGTTTTATGCCTTTTCCTATCAAATTGTTTGTACAATAGTACCCAATCCTAATGAGATGCTCCTGTGCTGTTGCCAAGAGTATACATTGGTACCAATTCTTAAAACCTTATAAAAAGCATAAAGAACCTTATACTTAGAAAAAGCATAAAGAACCTTTACCTTTAAATCTATCTCTAAGTAGGGTTTCCTAATGAAAAAAAATTAGAATTATGGACCAAGTTTGTTCATATAAAATAATACTTATGCCAGCAATATTTATTTTTGTAAAAATATTGGAAACAAAGTACTAGACAAGAATAATTAAATTAGGTCTGATCTCTCTCCATAGCTTGTTAAGAATACAGGTTATTTAAACCATATTATTCCCATTTTGTAACATATAGAAGTATTTATGTACTTAAAAGAAATATGTCAAATATTACCAATAGATCTTTGAGGATTATGAGGTTACATGTCATTTTTATTTTCCTTATTCAGTTTTTTGCATTTTCTAATTTTCCTATAATGAATATTATATCTACAACTTGAAAAATTCACTTTTTTTAATGAAAAATAAAATTGTGAGTATGTTTGCTGAGATCCTTGTCAGAAAGAAAGAATAAGTGAAAAAGTGCCTTGATCCAAGACTTTTGGCGGGGTCTTCATTACTCGAAAAGAATGTTTTATTGATAGACGAGGGAAGTGTTACCGAGCGTTTTGTTCCTCTGGAGTCCTGGCATTTCTCTGTTCTGCCACGAAGAGGGTGTTTAAAGGAAGCTGTAACAATAGTTCATTCTTCTGTATTCACGTAAATCACATCGTTCTATTTTCTCTTTCTAAGAGGGCTTTCTGTTTTTCTTTTCTGTGATATGCATAGGACTGAGGTCACTAAGGGCAGTAACTAAATTCAGAAGGGGAAGGGAACCAGTTTAAGGAAACAGTTTGTCTTAATTTATCCAGATAACCAAAGTTAACTCAATGTAAGCTGAGATCATTATCTCAGTGCGTAATTATCCTTTTGCTCAGTAGGTATAGAAAATGGGGCCCCAGTATGCCTGAGCAGGGAACTAATTGTCTCTCTTCCAAGGTTGATTAATAAATGTGTAAGTATGTATAAACCCTCCCTATCTCCCCATCTGGGTGAGGGGAGGGCACAGGAGAGAGAAGGAGGTATTTCTCCTGATGTTTGTCCTTCCTTTAGGGTATCCATGGCACAGCATGTGAGGTGTTTAGATCTGCTAGTTTGTCATTTGCTGGCTGGAAACCTTTGGTATAAGTTCATGTACTTTTAGAGCTGGAAGAACTTTATGAATTCCATTTCAATTGCATCTCCCATTTCTAACCAGTTATTTTAACAGATAGATGAGATTCTTAAGCTAGGATATGTTTTTCCCTGGGTTATGCCCTGAGCCAGGAAGCCCTTGAAGCCTCAAGATCTCTAGAAAGATTCACCATGTTTAAACTCTTGACTTCACAATAAGACCTTGGCATGGTGTTTAAGAGGATAGTTGTATTCATGTTCGATTAGCCAATAATATTGCTTTAGCACATGGAAGAATGTGTCATTTTAAAAGCACCATTTTTGTTTGTTTGATTTGTTTGCTTTTGCATGGAACTTAAGTTAAAAGCTTTTGGTTTAATCTTAACAGTAATGCCTTTAGGCAAGAGGAGGGTCAGGAATTGTTAGTTGCCATTGTACAGAAAGTGAAAAGTGTAGCATGGCCAACTCCAGCCCAGAACCCTCACCGAGGACAGTATGGCCTCATGTGAAGAAAAAAAGACGGGAGAAACCCATATTTTGGAATCTGGAAATGGTCTTTTTTTTTTTTTTTTAATAAAGGGGACTAATGTGATTTGAAGCTGCTGTTTTTCTTTTATACACAAATTGTTTAAATAAAAAGGAAGTTGTTGGCAAATTCTTTCTTGGCATTGATAAAAACAATGTGCTGTGTTTCATTATGCCCTGTGGATATCTAAAATAGTAATGTGTCCCCTGAGAATAGCTGATTGATTATATGACACTCCCACTTGGATGTTTACTAAGCATCTCAGACTCCAAAGTAGAACTCTTGATTTCCCCACAGCTCACACATAGCCTCTTCCCAAGTGTTCTTCATCTTAGAGCATGGAGCTCCCATTCACCTAGTTGTTTAAGCAGAGATTCTAAGTAATTCTTTGCTTTCTCTTCTCCTCAGGCAGTCTGTCAGCACTTCCTGCTGACATGACTTCTAAATAGAACTCTAAATCACTGACTTCTCTCAATCGCTGTTGTCACCTCCTTGTTCACATCACTGTCATCTCTTATCTGGACCATTGCACTGGTCCTCAAACCCATCTCCTTGCTCCCTTATGATCTATTTTCTCCCAAACATCAAGAATCATCTTTTTATTTAGTATTTCCCTGTTTAATGTCCCTCATTGGTTTTCCTTAGTAGTTAGAACAAAATCTTTATCCCATCGCCCTGGTTTACAAAGCCCTTTGGAGTCTGGCCCCCACTATCTCTCTGACCTCAGGTCCTACCACTCTCCCCAATCCACAGTTCTCTGGATCTCATGACTTTTTGTTTTTTGAGCATGCAGGTTCATAAACCTGAAGGTCTTCCCCACACCAGGAATGAGTTTTCCTTATCTTCCCATGGCTGGCTCCTCCTAATATTTAGAATAAGATGTTCTGATAAAGGTTATCCCTCATTGAGGTCTTTCCTGACCATCTGATTATATAGGACACCCTTTCTCCCGAAACAGGCACCACTGATGACAAAACTTTCCTTATATCCTATTCAAACGATCTAGATGGCATTTATAGCCACCGCCACCACCACCAATGTCTACAATAAATGTAAGACCCACTAGAGCAGGGGCCTCATCTACTTTTTTATCATCATGTTACCAAGACCACAGAGGAGGTATTCAATAATTGGTGTTGTATGAACAACTGCTTTTCATATGCTGTGTCTTCTGGCTTCTCTCTGTTTGGAAATCAATAGGTTGTTTTGCCTGTTCTGTTTCTACAGCAGACTGGACTTTATGAGTATAAAGTCTTTGGTGTTCTGGACGATTGCCCACCGGATTTACTTGCAGATGTCTATATGGACTTAGACTACAGAAAACAGTGGGACCAATATGTAAAAGGTGAATAACATCTATTATTTTTTAAAAAAATAACATCTGGAAAATAGAATCTATTGTTACTTATTCTAGCTAGTAGAAAGCAACAAGTTTAATTTCTACTATGTTATGTTTTATTTTTAATTTTGGCAGGAAAGTCTTAAGTGTTGGGCTGAAATGTGCCTTTGTGATTCCTTGCATTCCCTTAGCAACCACTCTCCAATTTGCTCTGGGGGCTACTTTGTTCTCACTGTAAGTTCATCATCATCTCACATATCGAGGTAGTCATAGGTGGCTTCTTAGATGAGGTGGTGTCCAAGCTTTGGTTTGGAAGTTGAACCAAAGTTTTATCAAGAATAATAATGCATATAGGTAAGAGGGTGAGAAGGTGAGGGGATGGGTGGCTTGAGGCCATTTGAGGCCCAGAGAACAGCATGAGTAAAAGGGCGGAAGGCATCAAACAGTATGGTATGTTCAAAAACTGTGAGCAGTTTGGTTTTATTGGGTTGTTGGGGTAGTAGATCTAGAGGTAGAGTGGGAGAAAGGCCCAGAGCCCCAAGGCAGCAGTCTGGCCACCAGTCTCCAGTTCTTAGACTTTGCCCTGAAAATCAAGTAGGAGGGGAAGAGTGATGCTCTGAAGGAGAATGCCAACTATGAAAGGCATTGAGTAGGGGTTCCTCCTGTCACTTAAAGGTGGGAGTGACCTCTGCCAAATCAGTCACAGATTAGAACTGCAAAATTAGCCAACGGGCAGGTACACTCTGAAAGACCTTTGCTATAGTCAGGATTTTGGTTGCAAGGAACAAAAAGCTAACAAATGCCAGTGTAAGAAATGGAAAAAGTTTATTGATTTCATGGCATTGAAAAGTCCAGGGCTATCTGACTTCCAGGACAACTGCATTTAATGCTTAAATAAGTTTTCCATGTTGACTCAGTTTTCTTCTGAGTTGACCTAATTCTCAGGCAGATTCTTATGTCATGGCAAAGATGGCCACCAGAAGATCCAGGCTTATGTCTAACCATATAAATACCCTACAGGAACAGTAAGGAGCCTTCCACTAAACTGCTCACAGAGGCTACAGTCCCAGAATTTGCTCTCATGGCATCCTGTGGATATTTGCCATGTGTGGTCTCCTAGTGTTTTCCAGTACCCTTTCTATCTAGGGGGAGCTGTGATGCTTGTCCCTTCAAGGGAGAAGCCAGATGTTCTTTGTCCCAGTCTCCTCAACAGCCATGGTTCAGGGATGTAATATAGACGTTGCCAGTAAGACACACAGGCAGCTTCAATGTGAGAGAGAACTACATGAGGAAGCAGGCAGCGTGCAAAGTCAATTTTCTGGTGATGGTCAGGGCTAAATGTCTGACACTGGGGGAAATAGTTGCAGAGACTCTGATGTTTGTTACTTGATGTCAACCATTCACGCTATGGCATCTAGTACAGTAGCAGCAGTTTGGCTTTTCTGGAACAATCCTGAGGTTCTAAGCACAACTCTGGTCCTTCCACATATTCTGTGAGCTACCTGAGGGCCTTTACTATACCACTTTTTGGCTTGAACTTGTTAGAGTGACAAGGTAAGCCCCTGGCCAGATGCACCGACCTGAATGAATCACTGTGGCCACATCTTGATCATTTTCCAAGTTCTGAAATTAATGCTGAGACAGTCCTGCTTAAACCACCTAGTTGAGGAGGGGAAGGGTGAAGGAGAATGGAGATCACTGATCCAAGAAAGGGGAGGTGATGCTGAGTATGCAAAGGTCACAGATGTCTACTTCTTCCCTTCCTCTCAAGGGCTGTCTTTAGTCTCATGTGGTACCAATGGGCAAGCTCTTTAATCCATGGTCTGCTTCTAATAGATTTTCTTTCCAAAGCTGAATTAAAGAATACATTTCCCCCATCAGCATCTCCTTAAGGGGCTCTCATGTTTACTTCAGCAGCCTTGGCTTGCCTCCTTCTCTAAATGGTTAGCATGAAGGCATACTGCACAGCTTGGGGTCAGAGGGTGTGCATGTCATTGAATTCTTTTTCTCTCTCCAGCGAAAGTTAGCTGCTGTTTGCTCACAATAGAATGATGGAATTAAAGGAAATCTGGTCATTGCAGCCACCATAGTGTGTAAAGAAACAGGGGAGAGAAGTGAGACACTTAGGTTTAGCCACAGTTATGCCACTTCCTAGCTGTTTAGGAAGGACACTGCCCTCTCTAGAACCTTCATTTCCCAGCTGAACATACTAGACTGGGTGACTCAGTCCAGGGCTAGCTGTCAATTGTCTAGAGAGCTCAGAAGCAAGACTGTCGGTACTCTAATGACATCTGCTGGTTGCCCTGATTTTAAAACATGAACGTTTATTTTTGGATGCCTGATTTTGTTTCATTGTATTGTATTTGAGAATCTTGCTTGTGCTATACAATGGACATGTTTTGTCATTTTATTTCTACTGTGTTTTAGTGTCTACTAGATTCTGCCCTTGGGCAACAAGCTTTTAGCATTAATGAATCTGTCTTATTTTTTCCTAGAATTCTGTGCCTTATGAGTTAGTGGTTTATCATACCCTCAGAGATCATCATACCTTGTTAACTGAAGCCCAGAAGGCTTCCAGATACATTAACTTCTTTTGTTCTCCTTAGAACTCTATGAAAAGGAATGCAATGGAGAAACCGTGGTGTACTGGCAAGTGAAGTACCCTTTTCCCATGTCCAACCGAGATGTATCCTTTCTCAAGGCACACCACTACTTGACTTTCTAAGTGTTTCTGTGCCCCTTGGCCATCGCCCAGTGGTGTCACGCCCACAGCAATGTGGACACTGTTGTCCTTTGATTCTTGCAGAAACACCTGCTAAAGCTTTTGCTTCTTGTGTGGCTTTTGGAGACCTCAGAGTGTGATGTCTGGGCCTGACCATGTGGGGCGTCTATGATTGTGGTCACTGGAGGGCAGGTTCACACTTCCCTGAAAAGTTTTCTAAGGTTTGAATTTGTTGGGCTCCATACAAGGGGACCTGGAGAGAAGTTTTTATAGAGTGTTTAATACATTTCCCCAGTCTAGAGGTGGAAGTGAGCACCCAGGGAGGTATAGTGACAGAGACCTGCATACAGACTGCAACTCAGGCCCCCACTTTTCCAGCTCTCCGGATCTCCCCTTCAGATTTATTGACCCCAAAGCAGTCCCTCCTTGACTGCTGACTCTGGGTACTGGGGGTATGCTTCTTCCCCAGTTTCCTTGTTTATCATTAAGACAGTTGAATGGAATGTGGGGAGTTTTAGCCAACACTATAAGGTTCCTAGAGGCCCTTCAAGACAAGCCTCCTACGGGGGATGGAATTTGAAGGACAGGCAGGGTGGGGGCAGGATGACTGATGGGTGAGGTTTCCACTCCTTCACTGTCCTCTTCAATCACAGTAAAACCAGGTGTTTTACAGACTGAGTTTCCCCAGACAGTCCTTTCAGCAAAGTGTCTTGTGGATTAAAAAAAAGTTTGGGAAACCACCAAATTTCTAGCTCTGACATTATACAGTTTATATGTTCCTAAATAATTATTCTCGAGAAAGAGAAAGAGTATGAGGGTATATTTTATAGAAATTGCTTATGTGTGTGTTTGTGTCTAAGTTTATGTGTTTACCCTGGCTTCTACTAGATTATAAATCCATGAGGGTTTATTTCTTGGTCACATACTGCTGGGTAGTTTGTACACATATGGTATGTATTTCAACAAATCGTGGATTACTTAATTCTTAGATTTTATGTGGTTTTCTCTGATCCTGCTGACAACTGTGCAAAGTGAGTACCATCATCCCCATTTCATAGCCAAGGGAACTGAGGCAAAGAGAAGTCCAGAACTTTGCTCTGATTTACCCACTCGTGGGTGGCAGAGGCAGGTTCTGGACCCAGGTGCAGCTGTTTCCAGAAATGGTGACCTTGACCAGGGCATCAGCCCATTGCTCTGACTTCACTGTGACACTGCTGGGTAGATCTTAGAAGTGGACACTTGGGCTACTTGAAGTTCTAGTTAATTGGCTTTCCCGGCCCCACAATCCCACAGTGAAGCACATATGTCTCCACTAAAGGTTAAATTGTTGAGAACAGAGAACAGTGCAGTGGAAAAGAACATTCAATAGGACCCAGAGATCCCACACTGACTGTGAGCTTATGCACTGATTTTGTTGTGTGACCTTGGAAAAGTCCCTTCTCTGGGCCTCAGTGACCTGATGGTTCTCTGGTCACAGGCTCTATCGAATGCTGGACCTCCCAACCCTTCGAAGACCTCTGCCAAGTCTTAATCAATATGTCAGTTAATTTTTCCTCAATGGAATGTCAGGCGATATCTATCATGAGCTGAACAAGTCTTAGGAGGCCATGGGACAATTTTGGCCGTGAGGAAATAGAGTCCTGGGGGAGGAAAGCCAGAGCCAAAGCAAATTCATTTCTTCCCCCAAACATTTAAGAATTTCACTCCTCAGGGGCGCCTGGGTGGCTTAGTCGGTTAAGCGACCGACTTTCGCTTAGGTCATGATCTCGCGGTTCGTGGGTTCGAGCCCCGCGTCGGGCTCTGTGCTGACTGCCAGCTCGGAGCCTGGAGCCTGTTTCAGAGTCTGTG